ACCTTTCGCAACTCATCGAAATTGTCGAGGTACACCCGGAACAGATGGTCGGCCCTGCTGCTCGTGCGATCTCGCCTGATCTCCTGGTGCCTGGTGGCCAAACTCCTATCAACATGCAGTGCTTGCGAAATGACACGCCGATGTATGTGTTGAGCTATCGCAACAGAGTTCACAAACCCCATCGGCAAGACTTTGGTGACGAGGTGCCACCCGTCTCCGTCGTGCCCCGCTGGGAGTGCCTCTAAGGGCACCTCCCTTGCAAAACCCATATACCGCCACCATGACTGAGGGGTCTGAAAAAGGTAAAAGAAACACCTTATATCTTCAGACGAGGTCAGGAGCAGCTGGTCATCCTCAAGGATGATAGAAGACAACCCCACCACTGTTGGCAACGTGCATGTGTCTCCAACGAGGTTTCGGCAGAGAGAGTTTGTGGGGACCAAGTTCATGATCAAACGGCAAACATCAAACTCAACCCCGTCAGGTCCAGTCCCTTTTTCCCCTTTTTCAACGGCAAACAAGCCGTTCATCAAGGGGCGTCCACAAACATGGTGCAGCTGCTCCCGCTTCATAAGCCCACAAACTCCCCGTGCAACCAACCCACGGCAGACCTCGGCCCAGTCGCTGTGGTCCACCATGATCGCGGGAGCTTCGCCAATGAAGTCCTGAGGCGGGAGTAGACACTTCTCGAAACTGACCACGTACTCGAGGGTTCCTTGATCGCAGAAATCTGTCAACCTCAGACTTCCTACACCCTGGGGTAGTGCGGCTTCCACCATCTGCCAAGTGAACCGACGGGCGACCTTGACCTCCTCACCTGAATAGTCTAAAGTCCTCGCCCGAAAGAACTGCTGAAAGGGAAGATGGTCCCACTTTTGCCCCAACAGAGTGCACTCCGCGAGAACCTTCTCCAGTTGATGCACCAGCTCACGACTCACTTTCCTAGGGTTACCCTTGGAACGGCTTCTCGACCCAGCAAGCAAGTTCAGCCCACGAACCATTGCCTCAAGGAAAGGGATGTGGTGACCGCAAAATCCTAGATCTGATGGAAGGGGGAGAGGGAAGATTCCCTCCGAGGACTGTCCACAACGCGTGTTCACATGCAGTTCAAACGCTTCCATCAGTTTGGCTAAGATTTCTCCCACATCTCCCACGACTGCTGAATCATTCTGGCACTTGTTTTTGAGCAACAGGCGTAGTCTATCAAAGTCGTCCACCTTGTGCTCCGACACTCCACTGCCCCAAAATGGGGTAACACTGGGCCCGGGTTGCACCCCTCGGCACGGCGTCAAAGCCAGTCGAGGACCCGACGTAGATAAATTCTCATACTCCTCAAAATCCGGGCGGCACCTCTTCAAACGCTGTCGCCCAGAAACTCTCTCCTCATACTGGGAGCCCCTCTTCTGCTCCCCTTCCATCTGCTGCGGACTGTCAGGAAGATCACCAGCTCGATTCATCATCTGCGTTGGGAGACGGCCCACGCCTGTCTCCCTTTCATCTGAATCCTCAAACTGGGAGGTGCCTGAGCAGTCCATCCCCTCTTCAGCCTCTGCACGGCCTGCCCGGCCCGGAGTCAACCCTGGACTTTTTTCAACAGTAGTTGCTCCCCCAGGCTCATAAGCCTTTGCTTTCTCTTTGCACTCTTGCAGCAGCTCTTCAATAGCCTGCTCATCCTCAGCCTCTGTTCTTGCCACACCTGCCTTTGTTCCTTTCTCCTGCCATTGCAACCTTTGTTTCATCTCTCTACCTCTGTTTGGCGACTTTTCTCTGTCAACTCCTCTCATCTCCTCTGACCCTTTTGCTGTTCCCTCTTCATTCTTCCCGGCCTCTAACTTTCTGTTTTTCCTTTCTTTTCCCATTTGTTTTTCCCTTTTCTTCCTTTCTCTCCTTTGTCCCTGTAGGCCGGCTCTGAAGATGGAACAGCTTTACCTCGACTCTTTCCTTCTGTGTCGCCTTTCCTCCCCATCCCGTGGGGCTTGCTCCCCATCGACTTGTTCCTGAAGTCCTCACGGGCGTGCTTCGCCGCCTCATAGTTCTCGCCAGCCTCCGCCATGGCCACCTGGTCGGCCCCGACAAGCTCAAGCTGCCGAGACACTGTGTAGTGCCCACCCTTGAGGGTGGCCTCAAGGGACTTAGCCCTCTGGACCAAGATGTCCAGCGCACTGGCAATCTTGCGCCGGATGATGAGATCGCTCGCCTGGGCTATTGTGTTCATCTCTTGCCAGAGGACCGGCGATGCAAGTGGCTTTAAGTGTTGATGTGTGTAGATGGCGAAGATGGGAGCCAATTGCTCCCTTGAGCTGCTGTAAAGGTCTCCTCTTGCGGTCATCAGATGCTCTCTCATATTCTCCAGTGCCTGCATCGTCAAAGCTCCTGGATAGCGGTTGTGAAGACGCTTGACTCTCCTCGTCTCCTCGAAAAGCGGCGCGTCATCATCAGATTCGTCCTCGTCTGAAGTATCTGATGAGCTGCTCTCCCCATCCCCTGAGCTGCTGGAGCGCTTCCGCTTCTTATCTTTCTTTGCCTTCATCTCCCGAGCCTTCTTCATCAGTCTCCTCCGGCGGCTGACGTTGGGGTCCAGGCATGTCCCACTAAAGATTGCCCGGGCTGTCTTCTGACCCCGCTCCAGGGTCTCCTCACGCTCCAGTGCCTCTAGTTTCTCTTCCCACTCTTTCTCGGCTTTTCGCTCTTTTCCTTTCTTCTTCTTCTTTTCTCTCTCCTTCCCTACCTTCTTTTCAACCTCAGCCTCCTTGTCCTCGGCCTCTTTGGCCCTGGGAGGTTTGTCACCTCCCCTGCCCTTACCTCGCTCCTCAGCCAGCTTCCTCAACGAAGAGAGCTCATCAAACTCCGCGATGGCTTTCTCAGAGAGGTTCATTTGCCACTCCTTGGGGGAAACCGCGCAATCCCAGAACCCCCTGGCGTGGAATAGCTTCAACCCAGTTTCCAGCTGCGCGCAATCCTCCTTGCAGAGGTGTACCATAACCGTCCGGTCTTCACCACCTCCAAACGTCTCCATCACGCGCTCTGATTGGGTGCCAGTGAGAACAAACTCCATCCGGCCCTCCACTGGGTGCAGAGCCCGCACTCGTCCAGCCACATGCACGGAAGCATTGTAGTAGGATGCTCTGTCCAACTCAATGACATCCAGGCCCTGCAGCCTTTCCAGCGTGAGATCGGCCCACGAGTAGAGCTTCTCCACTGGGAGGTCCTCCTCCCCTCCAGCGGCTGGTCGTCGGCGAGGTCGAACTCGAGGAACGGAGGCTGCTGGTCGTCGTACCTTGGGAGCCATTGCTTCCCTTACCAATGGTAGCGGCCTCCCCGGCCGCGATGCTTCCTGTCCTGAAGTTCCTGCTTCGCTCTCTTTGTAATCCCCTTGTTGGTTCCTTGGGTCCAACGTGGGTGGTCTGAATAAGGCACGCGGCCCCTCCAACCAGAACCTTTTGACTTACCTTTGCTTTCCCCTTTCGCTCCTGATGATCGCTGCGGTGGAGGTCGCTCCGGAGTGTGTGGTGACCTGGGTCTCCTCTGTGTGGGCCTAGGTCGTAGAAAAGGTTCTCGCTCAATGGGGGTTTCCTTTGTTGCTGCCTCCTCTGCACGATCCTTCTTCTCTTTCTGGGAGTCTGCTGGCTCCCTTTTCTGTCTCCTCACCTCTGATCCACTCACTTCAGCGGACCGCGAATCTCCTCTCCTACGCCTCCTTTTGTCCTTCTCCTGTCTGCGCTTGGGTGACCTTGATCTCTTCTTATTGTCTTTCTCTTCTTCCCTTCTCCTTGGCAATGGCTTACGTTCTTCTGTGGCTTTGGGAGATCCCTCAACTCCCTTTGTACTCTTCTCTGGCTCCTCCTTGGCCTGCAAGTAAGGCGAAACGCCTGTCTCCTCACCTGCACTCTTGCGACTCGGCTTTGTGTCTCCTTGACCACTCTCCACGGCCTCCTCTTTGGTCTCACCTGACCGTTTGGGAGATTCCTGTCCCTTCTTCTTCTTCTCTTCTGACCCAGCTCCTTCACTGGGAGCAGCGACTCCCCTCTCGGGGCTTTCTTCCTCAGGTAGAAGGCGTCCAATCGAATAAAATGCCCCGTCCAATATCTTGGTCACTTTAAACTGGGCCTCCTGAGTAGCAGGGAGTCTGGGTCCTGTAGCCGCCGCTACCAGCCGAGTCGACGAAACGCACACCGAACAGGTGCCTGCCAAAAGCGACCACTTATGGCAGGAAGTACAAGTGGGCATTCCCCTTCGAGCCCAATGCTACGGTGAAAAGGCGGAAAGTGTTGTGTTTACTCATGAGGTCATAAGAACATATATATATGACATATGTAGATATGTATAGTATATCGATAAATCATTCTAAATCAACGCCTTTCAACATTGGTTATTTTGAACAATATACATTTGTGCAACATTCGTAATTTCGCAACAGCTCTACGTTCTAAAGAATGTTTTTTTTGTTTTAAACGATAATGACAGGGTTTCAAGGGACATGTAAAAAGAACGTGAAATGATGTCAATTGGCAACAGGATGGATCCTCCAAAGGAATCTGAACATGAACATGAAAACAAAGGAAATTAACAGCATTAAACGTGTACACCCCGGCCATTTTCCTGAAAACAGTATAGACATATTTTGGGATATTTTGGAACTACAACGCACATATATATATAATTACACACGTTAAGGAACATGTTTGGTAAATCATGCATAAACACTCTGTTCTGGAAGCTAAAACAAACACCAACTAATTTCAGCTCCCTCAGTCTGTGGCTGCAAGCTTTTCATAACCTTATCCCTGATCACTCCTCGAACCTTCCATGGACTCCAGTATAATGGGAGGCACACGACAGTGGCAATACCGTATACATCGGGACCAAGAACTGGGACTTTGCATGATTGGAACTCACTGGCTGGTACTCCACCCCCTAACCCTCCCCTAACCCTCCCTATCTTCCCCTCCTCTGCTCACCTACCAGTCCAGTGGGTCCAACATGGTCCGGGCCCCGATGGGCCTCCATCAAGTGGGAGGGATTCCCAATCCGTTCCACCAGGACCTCGGCAGCCAATCTGACAAGAATTGACAGCAACAACACGCGCACTATAGCCCAGCCAAAGAGTTCGACTCATGTGAGAGTGTGGACGCAACTTGCAGGGACGCATGGGCTTGGTCATCCGAGAAGTGCTGTCTGTAAGCGACAAAGCCATAAAACGTCTTCGATCTCTGAAAGTGCGTTCCCGGCTAAACAACAACAACAACAACAACAAGAAGAAGAAGAACAACAAGAACAAGAACAAGAACAAGAACAACAACAACAACAACAACCACAACAACCACAACAACCACAACAACCACAACAACCACAACCACCACAACCACCACAACCACCACAACCACCACAACCACCACAACCACAACCACAACCAACCAACCAACCAACCACCACAACAACACCAACACATTGTGGACCATTATGGTTTTTGTGTACCGAGCCTGTCGGCTAAATATGGTTGTGCTGCTGTGCTCTTCTTCCTCGGTCACCTATCGGATCGATTCATGTTCGTCTTCACAATTGCCCCGAGAGTGCTGCTTCACCATGTGTGATGTCGTGTTCTACATGTGGGTTCATTGGCCTGTGCTAAATCTAATGTCGGTTGTTCAGTTTTGGTATCGAAATGGTCCTTTCGTTTATCGACCACGTATGGGCCTTATGGGACTTTTATGGACTGTCCACAAAGAATGCTCACCAGTTGGTAGGAAGGATCCCACACAGGAATTCTTGCAGCAACAGCAAAAACCAAGTAGCAACAACAGAATCAGAAACGGCCCTATTATAGTATAGACAGGTGCAGCAAATGCTATGTACACTGCTATGTACCCTAGTACAACTAGTAGGTAGTACTCTTAGCTGCTTGCACTAGTACTTACTCATGGTGCGGCAAAATCAGACCGAACACGTGTGCCAAGGAGCTGTGAAGACCGTGAGGAGTTCTTCCATCCAGCCTGCACGACGACACATTGCACGGCGACGTTGCTGCAAAGATGGAGCCCTTGGAAGCGTGTTTTAAGACGTGAAATGAATGCCACTCTCTTTTTCTCATGTTGGATCTTGAACAGCCAACTTTCCCCTCTGGCAAACCATTTAGAGAGAGCAAATCGAGACAGTCCTGGTGGTAGCAGCAGCAGCAGCAGCAGCAGTAGTAGTAGCATTATCAGCAGCATGAGTAGGAGTAGCAATAGCAGCAGTTATAGTGGTGGTGGTGGTGGTGGTGGTGGTGGTGGTAGAAAATAAAGAAGTACTAGCAGCACTAGCAGCAAGACAGGCAGCCATTTGAAGCAAAAGCCAAGCAAGGATCCTAAAGGAAACAATAAACAAACGGAACAATAGAAAACTAAGCTGTGATATGTTTTCCAGGGCAAGTTTTCGCATGTTTCCCAAGAACAATTCTGCTTGGTGCTTTCAACTCGAAGCATATCAGTGGGCTCAACCATCCCAAGCAAAAAATTGTTGAACAACAACGTTAACACAGAATTAATGATCCATGGTAATTCACTTCCAGGGGGCTTGTGTACTAAACAGACTATATAAACCCTTGTAATTTTGTTTGGAGCAAATTCGTCGATAAGATTGAATAAGGGTTTGTCAAAAGATTCAGGTCAGAGTTCCGGGAATCAAGCAAAACCTCAGAAATGTTTAAGCAAGCATCTGAAAGGGCAATAGTAAAAAAACTGAAACACATACCCTGGTTTAACAAACCACATGTTTGTATTCAAAGGTCTCTTCTCTCCCACACTATTGTTTAGGATTCGACATGATACATAATTTGGAGTGTTGAGTCGATCTGTGGTGACTGGATGCTCTGTACGCAGTCCGGACGTCCATGGGATCAAACATGTCTCCGGAGGAAACAAACAGCACAACCGATCCCTGGCTAGAGCGGCTCAAGTGGCTCGTTTGTTTCGCCACTGTGAAGAAGAAGAAGAAGTACAGTAGCAGTCAACCCAATGATACATAATTAGATAACATCTCGGACAATCCAAACAGAATAAACAAAACACTCTTGGATTGGACCAACCTCCTATTCATCTATTCAAGGATGACTGTACTATGCGAATCAACAAGCACCCACGGCGGAGGGGTGGAAAGACCCGAACATCGTGCAGCGAATGCTGCCTAAAGTGATACACACCTATCCAGGTAAACGGTAAGATGCAGTGGATCGAAATGTCAGGGTTTCCTGCAATCGAATTAATTAATCTAGAACAAAAAGACTGGGTCAAAGGGAAAGTCCCTGAAAGAGCCCATCTTTATGAGTGATTTGACCATGCCGGACCAATGTGGCTCCCTTCAAGGGTTCTTCGGAGGATTCTGGGGAACAAGTGGGGGGCTTGACCGATGTAAATTGGTCTATGACTCTAAGTCTAATGGATATTTCGGTATTCCCAAGCCAAGGTAATGCAGACTGTTGATATCTGTTGATTGATAACCTCCTCAGTTCCCTTTGTAGTTTCTTTCATGTTTCTCACATGTGCTTCTTTGTATAGACGTGTTACATTTTGCTGCTGGTGATTCCTGCGTGTTCACAGTGGCGTTTCGAGACCTCCCACAAGGGGATGCGTGCGGTGTGTCTTCGAAGCGGGGGTGGTAGAAGAGGCTTTACAATCCAAATGGAGATTCTATGAATCAAGCGTCTACATGATGACCCTTCGCTCGTTCGATCCGCGGCTCGTTCGATCCGCCTTCGATCTGTTGTCCGATGACCTCGCTGCTGAAGGTGCACATCCCAGCGAAGGAGCGCGTCACGGACTCATCTCCTTCATGCTCCGCCTCTTGCGCATTTTGAATCACGTGCCAATCCTCCTGAGCATGGTCTCGCTTGGCTCGCTCTCGGCTTGGTCGTTGTCCCACTCCAAGATCGTTGGCCACTGGGGTTGGCTGGAGTTGATCGGTGGGTTCCGAGGACGGACCTTCGTTCGCTGACGGTGCCGGTGGTGTCTGGCGGTGCCCTTGGATGAGACTCAAAACCACCCCGAATCCCTTTGTGACTCCTGGTAGTCTTCCATAACACTCCCAAAAACGGCACACTGGGAATAGCACTCTGAATCCGACTCTTTTCCTCTTCAGGATCCTCTTCCTGGTTATTTGTGGAAGAGGGGTACCCCAACCATCCCCAAACAACCAAAGGGTCGCTCTGGGAAAGGTGAGACTGTAGTGCTTCTTGGCCAACATGTCTCAGTCTGTGCATCTAGTGACTGATGCTTCGGTGGCTCACCGTTCACGACGTGGAATTGACGGTACGGTATCCACCACCCACACCGGGTGGTGCTTGCTAGCCGAGAAGCTAGCTGAGATACGGATACCTACGGTATCATGATGTTTGTATCATGTGTTTGTTTTTGTTCAGGCAAACAGTCAAGCCAGGGACGGACCATTCTTCCGAATGCATTTAGTCTGGTCAGTCTTCCCTGGAACCCTCCGTCGATACATCTGTCGTCGGCTTCCCAGGTCACAGGTCCTGGATGATCTTCAGGCGCTCAGTGTAGGTAGCGCTGATGTACCTGTGATCAATGACAAACGTTGGGTATAATACTGCCCCCAGGCCCTTGGGCACCCAACAAAACTACCAACTATGTACAATCCTAGCAGCCTGCGAAGAAGCCGGATCTCAAACAAGGACTCCTGTTTTCGGCAACTGGATAATTTCCTGATGAATCACCATGCCTGCAGCAGTTTCCATGGCTCACAAAGATTCGAGGCAGAACCTCTGATGAGCCTTGAGAATATCCAGGGAAAAGTAACCCCCAATCATTTTGAAGGGGATGAGGGTTTTGGAGCCTTCCAGCATCAGAGTCATCCGCAGTGTCCAAGGTGATTACCATTTGAAAAACCTAATCAAAGGGTTTGGTACCCAAATCAACCCTCCAAGCATAATGTGTATCTATACCAGTATACCTTTTCCAAAGGGAGATTCAATCAGCTATAGGAAGTTTAGAGGAAGTTTCCCAGATCTATGCAAGGCGTCCGTCTCCTGTGCCTGCAGCAGGAGCCAGTGTAGGTGAGCATCTTCTGCCAAACATTGATGCTGCCCGGTGGCAGCTCGGGCACATTCCTCACTTGACACAAAATGGACGTATGGCTTTGGTGAAGCCCAGTGCATTTCAAAATTAAAGCAACAAGTTGAAATCCAAACAGTTTACAATAAAAAATAGAAACACAATAAAAAAAACAAATTGCACATACAAACAAGAACCACTTGCATTCGGATGGAGGCGCCCAAAAACACATCACCCTTTTCGCCACAAAGGACCGCCTCTTGGTCGTTTCAGCCGCATCCAAAAACGCTGCTCACTTGGTGCCGTTTCTATCTGACCAATTATTGGCGTTCTGAGACTCTGTTGCATCAGTTCCAAATAGGCTTCGGTCACCGCATCCACACGCTGCTGAGTGATTTCGTTCCCCAAATGCCTCGGCTGTGGAGGTATGGGCACGGAGGAGAGCGTGATAATCATCTAGCACCTGAAGCTCTAAAAACATATACATACTTGTATACCGCCTTTTTGTGTGTTTAAATACCAAACAACATGTTAATATGTATGTGTGCTCGTTTTGATAGGTAAGGTACTTCCAGGGTTCACCTTCCAAGCTTTAAAATACAGTCCCTCCTTTGCCCATTCCGCTAAACACGCGCAGGTCGTGGGATGGAGGGCAAAGGGCCCGAAAGTCTTGGCCTTGGTATTCTCAAGTGTCTTGGCTCTTTCTCCCCCAAACAAAACTCCCTTTTTTTGGAGGATCTCTGATCTCTTTGGCCAAAGCAGTGAGGACCACTTGGTGCCAGAAACAGGGAACGCTTTGAGCTCCCGTTTTCCACCGGCTGGAAACGTTCCTTCTGTCAGCATGTGATGCCTTAAGGAAGGATGAATTCAAACTCGTGCGACCTCGCTCGTTGTTTCTGGATGTCTCAAACTCAGAAGGTGTGGAACAACAATGCCCTTGTGATGTCCTTCTCAAACAGGCCAAGGTCCGCTGGTTGATCCCTGTGAGAGGCTCCTTGGGTTCTGGGAGTTCTGGGATTACAATACAAAACTCAGTTCCGCGGGGTGTTGGTGGAAGAGTTCTGGGGTCAATCCTTTCCAGCTTCCATCCAAACTCATCTGAGCTGCTTGAAAGCCAATGTCTCCACCTGCAGCTTCAGGTCGTTGGGATCCGGGCTCTTTTCACCTGAATGGGTGGGCAAAGCATTGGGAAAATCACAAAATTTCGTTGATTCGAAATCAACTCTCTGCGTCGAAAGTTCACACAAATTAGGGCATCTTGGAGTTGTCCGGTGTGGGATGGTTTGTGCTTCCCCAATCTTCCCACAGCTCCCAAATTTTGACCATCTATGGGGCTGGCCCTCTCTCAATGCGGACCTGAGGCAAGCTCGGGCATCCCAAGGCTTCGAAGGGCAAGCAGCGCTTTCGCATTCTTGGAGACCCAAACACCCCCCACTCCGAAAAACACCGTGGCAGAACGGTTCGAGACAGCCCGGGTCACACAGCAGCCGAAAGCCATTGAAGAGGTTCAGGGAGACGATTGCCCTTGGCCGGCCTTTGAAGGCTTCCTGGATGGGTTGGGTCGAGCCGGGCGAGCTGGGAATGCATTGGCTCTGAAGGCGCTGAAGACTTTGGAGGTCTCAACCCACTTGAAAAAATGCTAGTCGGTGGGTTACATCGATCCCTGTAAAGGTTGGGTTGAACATATTATGAATATAACATATTAGTGTGTATATACTCCCAGTTGGATCGAGTTTGGTATTCCTTGACCAACACCTCCGAAACCTGTACAGTAGTTGTTGCAGTTTCGACTACCAATTAGGACCTCCGTCGCCGTGCGCCGCCATCCCGCCGATCGCCACCACCCTCCGCCCAACAACCACGTCAAGTGAGATACGGTCGCTGTAGGGCTGGCGAAGTCGCTGGTCCAAAACAAGTCCGGGTGATGGGAGGGGTAATTAGGGTGGGTAGGGGGCCATTCATGCCATGCACTTAGTCGATCCCTTTCCACCCCTTTCGATCCAACAGCCCTCGTCCTGTAACACCGAAAGCCGTGAGGTCAAGGCCCCGAAGATGGCGTCGCCCACGGTCTCTCGCTCGCCGCCCAGCGCGACCATGAACATATCCTCAACCGGTAGTGTGTTCCCGGATAGATGTGGAGGTGAACACAAGGGTTTCCTGTCGATGTTACCTTAAACCATCTGAAAACCATTCATTCATGTGTGGCTGAAGGGGCGCCACATCGCATCATATCAAAGACTCAAAGACCACGTGTCGAATATGTAGAGTGTGACCCCCTTTGAACCGTTCTATGTTTTACATATACCTGGACCCAACTTCAAGTGCCCCAGAAAATGGGACATGACCCTACAACAACAGGTATGTGTACCAATTTTCCGAGGTAGAAACGGAGGGTCCAGGCAGGTAAATCACATATACTAGGTTCTGATGATACAGGATTTATGGCGTCTGATGACTGATGGCTTAGGAAGAGCAGGCGGGTACTCCTTACTCCTCCGTGCGCTAGCATCGCAAGAAAACATAGGGAAAACATGGAAAACCAATGTCTGGCACCTCGAGCATGCTCTGATTGATTTCAGCTAATTTGTTTTCCTATCCTTGGGCTGATGAAAGAGGAGTTGTTACCCAGCTGCCAGCGCAGGCGTTTCCGGATGAATAAGGAATTGTATGGAATCGTTGATGGATGATTTTGGCACATCTCACATCAGTCTGTTAACTCCTTGGTCACTAATTAGGAGGTATAGTGTACATATCAGATTGGAACATGGTGACATGTGGACTCAAACCTATCGTGAGATCGTTCGACTTCATCGGTGGATCTCCATCGATTGCTCATGGTCGACGGATCTCGCTGCTTCGGTCTACAAGTGCCCTGATCATTGGCTGGCGAGAATTGGACACTCCAACTTGGATCAACCAGCTGCACTGTTGGAAGGTGACACAATCTGATCCTCCACTGTGCTAGTTAGTCAGCCACGAGTGTGACCATAGTTGGCGAGTCCGAGTCCTGGAAGGAATCTCCTACACTTGGGGCTCCCAAAAACCCGTTTCAACGGTCACAAAAGGTCCAATCGGTGAAACAACTATTGTTATACCCGAAAACAAATAAGGATATACCTCATCTAGCAATGGCCTCCAACCGAATAAGCGGCTCCTTTGGGCATTCGCTCCAAGACCACAGACACGCTCGTTGACCGCTCCAAGACACCCAGGACTTGGACAAGACCACCAGCTCTGTCTGTGACCTGACGGATGGCCGGGTGAGTTCATGTCTTCCACGGAGGGTCTAAAGCTGAGACGGTCCAACGAAGGCTGGTGGCTACGGCTAAGATGTAGAGACGTGGTGTTCCTCCTGAAGTTTCAAATATTCACAAGAAACATCGATTCAATAATATAGACTCTTGACTAATAACGTTAATAACACACAATAACAAACATACGTTTTACAGGAGCTTGCTGCACGACATGGCGCAACAATTTGGAATATCATCCTGAATAGGATCGATGACAAAGAAGCCAAGAGAGTCGTTCGAGTGGCTACTGAGATTGAAGACCTTCCGGGCTCGCCAGCTGTGATTTATTGTACACCTTTTCTGGCCAAGATGTCTCGGAGGTCTTGTCAACCCCGACAGTGAGTCGCTTACTGTTGAAACTTCAGTTTCCACGGTCTGGATGCACGATCCGGCTTTGTTTGCCTGGACCAAAACACAAGGACTTTTGATTGTTCGGCAAAATAGGAAGGCTTCAACAACACTTATTCCTGTTGACCTTGCCTCCTCATTTTTGGAGTTCATGACCTCTGGAATGAGAGGTTAGGGAAAGTTGTCGCACTTCTTACATTGGGTTGGCCTTTCTGATGTTGGAAACAACGTTTTACTCTTGAAGCTTGCTTGGGGTTGCCAGGTGTCACCTTCTTTTCAAAACCGGCATACAGTCGGTTTCGGTTTCGGTTCACCGACCCGAAAGGTGGGTGTCACCGTGGGTGCTGTAGCGAGCTTGCTACGTTGATGGAATCAGGTCGTTCCAAAAGTGATTTCGTCGACTGGGAGTTTCCAATTGGAGTTGCGCTGGTCTTTTCACTCGGATGGCAAGACAGCGCTGGTCCAACCGTCGGAGCGTCGACAGCTAGCATAGTTTCTCCCGTTCCAAAGTGGACTTCGTGCGGTGGACAGGATGACGGGAGTGGTGATGAAGAGGTTTTGCAATCCAACGGAGGTTTTTTTTTGAACAAGTCTCTACATGAATTAGTTGGTGACACTCTGATGGGTTGGATCGCGTGCGTTGGATCACTGCCGTGATGACAGGAACCCTCAAAAACAGCTTCGAAGAAGGAACAGTGGATCACTCTTCCCAAACCCTGACAAAACCATCATTCTCCATGCAACACCAATTCATATGGCATATGGCCATTTGACAATCTGAGAGAAACGTAGAAGGATGATGTACAGAAATTATATATATATATAGAAGGTCCAAAAACAGCTTCGCTCAAGCTTTCGCTAAGAACAACACAAATGCAAATCACCCAAATGAAAGAACCTCCATAACTATAGGGCTGCGATAGGTCATTGGCTGAACTAGTCATGAACAAAAACGATGGTAACGAACCCTTCCAGTTGCCTTTTCAGTTCCCCTTCTCTACATGATTTTTGCAGTGGGTTTTCCATACCACGGATAGGTCATTGGAAGGGGTGCGGTCGCCAGCATCTCAGCAAAGCTACAAGTGTAGGAGTTCGGTCAGCGTCTCGTCCCCACCCTTCTCCTTCTTATTGCCTCACGGTGCTCCAGATCGCATGGGCGCTTTGCAACTTTGGAACCAAATTCTTTTTTTATTGAATCTGAAGAGATTCAAAACATTCAAATCCGTCCATACACCAGATATAGCCCCGTTCATGATGTGCGAAGACAACCAGCAGGAGATCTTTGAAATGACGCTGCTTCGAGATCTCAAATCAAATGTACTATACGGCATCTACCAAGGTTACTCGCATAGTTTGAAGGGTGAATACTATGTATTGAACATGTTTCTTCTATATTAGACATGGTTTCATGTGTGGAAACATGTATCCGGTGCGAGATCTTCCCATGAGTGATCTCGAAGGTTCGATCGTGCCTTCCACATCAAAGTCGGAGTCCGCGTCCGTGTCCACGTGACTTTTCGCATCCTCATCCCCCTCGCTGACCGGTTGAAGCTCCGTGACTTCTTCCTGGCGCCGGTTTCAGCGTACGCCGAGCTGTCCGGAGCGGACGACCAATAAGGGGAGCTGTGTATTAACAAGTGCCACGCTAGTAGTAACAAGTGCCTTACTAGTAGTAACAAGAAGCTAGTAGAAACCTGAGAGAACGAGTCTTTTTGCATAAAGGGCCGTCCTGGAATATACCCGAACAGGTGGTGAACCTGGGCACCACAAACTGTGTGGATGTCCAATGCTTGGGCCCCATCTAATTGAACCTACGACATGACCCGACAGCTAGGACTGGTCCAAATACTTGACAACACGAGCTCTATGGAATTTTGATCCAACCAACTATCTAATCTAACCATACTCATAATATGTGTAATTGCATTGTTTCGATTGATCCCCACCCTGTAAGCGGCGATTGGGAGGAAGACCAAACACATGTGCACTGACATCTAGCGTACAGGCTGGAAATGTTCTGGAATGTGTTCAGACCTCCTTTTTGGCATGTGCTCTGTTTTTTGTCCCGCGGTGCAGTCTGACATGACTTCTGACATATCTGGGTCGTGTTGAACGGCCCACACCACCACGGCATTGAACCCGGGTCCGACGCATGAGGGATGCATATCTTAGCCACTAGACCACCTAGGCCCTATAGGCTTCTGACATACAGTATCTTCTAGCCTATATATATATATATATACATATATGGACATTTTGTTTGTTAAATCTGACATGTGACATGTATTCTGACAGGTGTTCTGCCATCAAACCTGCCATATGTTCCGTCATATTCTGATATATGTTGTGATCAATATATTGATGTGTTCTGTGATGTATTCTGGCATTTGTAATGCATTTGTACTATAATATGTTCCAAAATTTGTGTGGCGTTCGTGTGCTCTTCCATTCGTTCTGATGTGCGTTCTGGCATGCGTTCTTGTCTCTTTGGGCTGACAGCAAGGCGGGACATGCGTTCTGACACTCTGCCACCCGAACCACTCTGCAGCACCGGCCAAAGGCTCGGAGCATGTCAAACTGCAGTCAGGCAGCAGCCAGAGGAGCCGGAGAAGGCCAAAGGAGGACGAGGAAGAGGAAGGAAGGAAGAGGAAGAGGCAAAGGAAGGAAGGCAAACCATCAAATCGAGAGACCGTCACCTAACAGTTGGGGGAAAAAACACTTTTGATGCAGCGACAGACCGCTGCAACGGCGACACAGAGTTGTTGCCAGCCTTGGCAGAACCTTTGTGCAGAAATGGTCCGCAGTGTTTTTTGGTGCCGCTGATAGCTGGTGTAATCGCGACTGAATGCTGCAATGCTTCCGTTTCTGGTTGAGGCCCATGATTCGAAGAGTGAACGATTCGTGAAGGATCCAAATGCTGAAGGCTCTCATTCCCTTCCCTGCAAGTCTATTTTGTGCGGATGTCGGCGGATTGATCTCCCTACAAGCAGTTTTTGGAGGGAGATCTCCCCACTGAGGACCGCGAAAAACTGAAGCTTCAGATCATTCAAGAGCAAACCCCCAGTCCTTGGACCTTCGAGCGGTCTCGCAAAAAGTGGATCCGGTTGGATCCCAAAGGCTCTAGCTCTACGTTTGCATCCTGTCGAATCAGTGTTGATCGCCGATCGCATATTTATGTGAAGACTCACCAGATCGAGCTACTTCTATTATATAAAACATCATTTACTTGGAGATTCAACCTACGAACCTACGGTGTTTCAACACAAGAAAGGCTACCCCGGTGTTCGGCCTCCGAGACCATCGCAGTCATCATCTCGGGCGTGGGCGAGGCGGGCGTCTGTGGGGTATCCCTGAGCGTCGCGCATGAGAGGCTCGGTGCAGCCCATGGTTTCCGTTTCGCTCGGAACAAGGACGCTACGAACGGAACAAAGGGCATCGCTACTAGGAGCAATAAAGCTACTAGTAGCTCCTGGCCATACTACTAGGAGCAAGGACGCTACCAGTGGCATCAATTCAGACAGTCAGAAGTGGAGTTGCTCCAATTCAACAATCAACGAATGTGACTTCTGAGCAGGGTAGGGCACCAGCAGGTAGGGTCCTCCAAGCAAACACACACACACACACACGCACATCCAAACGCTTCATCTGTGGGTAAGGCCAACCAAATTTGCTCCCAACCTTGCACATTCTTCAAGGTGCCACTATTGGTCCTGCAGGGAGATCTAGGGGATATCGGTATATAATGTGTGCTGTAAATTGTAAACTAGGAAAGCCCACCAATATCGGATCGGTTAAAAGAAACCCTGATTTCAAATGTCTACAGCTTTGAGCTGGGTTGACTGCTGTTTTGGTCTATGTTGTTTGTGATATGTGTTGGTCGACTATCTATATATTTATTTTTTGTGTCGGTTTGATATGATTTGTTTGTCTAATATAGTTGTATACTGTGTGTATATATGATATCTATGTGGATTTATTAGCTTCGTGTGTCTATTGCGCATATCACAAACATGTTTATTTAAAATATATATTATATAAATGTGTTTACATGTATGAACCTGTCTGCTTAGTAATTAGAATCGTCTCCCCCCTACAATAACATCTATGCTTCTTTGCTAGTGACGATGTGTTAGTGAAATGATTTCTGCAGTGTTGTCTTCTTAGGAAAGCAAAGGAAATCCAAAGTCTGCACGGTCCTTACAATATGTTTGCTCTTTCTTTCAACCTGTCCACTGTTCCAAAGTTTCCCATTCCACCAAATCTCAAAAGGACGTCAAAGGAAGTTCAAACTCCAAAAGGAAATCATCATTCCACCAAATCTCAAAAGGACGTCAAAGGAGAAGTTCAAACTCCAAAAGGAAATCATATTGAAATTGTTGAAAAAAACACAGCAAAGAGGACTTTACAAGAAAATCAAAAGGAATATAAAGGAATCAACAGTAGCTTAAAATAGAAATCAACAGGCATGTAAGAGGACATAACTGTACCTCAGGATATCTCAGGATAGACATTCTGAGCACTCCCAAGCTTCTCAGTCTCCATCCTCCCGGTACGGCTTCACTCTCAAAGTCGGTCGTCAGTGTTCCCACTCGTCCTCGGACCGATGAGCGGCCCGAGATGCACCAAAGCCTCAAAGCTCCCATACCACTGGGGCTGATTTCCATGTGTCAATTGGTTGATTTCGGTCGTCTTGAATCCGATTTGCTAAGATCCAGCCCTTTCGAAGCTGCATCTTGAGCATTCTTTCTAGTGTACAATAGAGAGCCCAAGAAAGGCATAAAGAAGGGAGCCTCCGGAGCCGGAGGTTGCATTCATCGACAGCCCGCGGGCCCCGTTTCTGGGGAACATATATAATATACATATTATTGCTAAATTATCACAATTATATATATTCACATTCACATGTATGTGTATATAATACATCTATTATATTATATTGTATATTTATTAGTATAATGCATACCTATTACCTCTGTGCAAAGATCCAATGACAACACTGTTGCCGAAACCCCACAAGAGAAAGAACAGGTTCTCAGTGTCGCAGCTCAACTGTTGGTTTATTTCACCAGCTCAGGGTGTATTTCATAGGATTTCCCTAGGTCTGTTGGGCCCTGGCATGGTGGTGGCTAGTTCCATTGGGTCATAGCTTCACGTCCAAGCTTCACCACTGTAGCTTTTGGGGCGTTTGAAACACTCTTGAGCCAAGCACATCCGAGCAGAACCCCTCCTGGGCCAATTGATTTCACCCACCTCAAGGATGAAAAGATATCCTCCAGGGCTGTAGGATTCGTTTATGATTGAGTCTTCAGAGCTCAAGCACTTTGTTAACACCGAGAATCTGAGAAAAGCATGAGTTCCCCAACGTCTGATCGATCGGATGTTTTCCAGCTTCGCTTCGGATTGACTATCCGGAGTGGTTGATACCTACCAAAAAAGGGTTGTAGCAAGTTGGAATTCGACTTAGAAGTAACAGTGTACACTCGAACCTAATGCCAACACCGGATTAATCAACGCCCCCCTTCAAGGCCAGAAAGCTCAACAAGGTTTGAGATTGGAGGTATTGGAGACCACCATCCGCCTAATGAAGCGACGTGATGATGGATTATGAGAGTATGAGGTGGTGATGGATGATGGTTGATGGGATTCTGCATGGATCATGAGAGTTGGAACCATGACAACCATGAGAGCTCTTAGTATATTGGCACAAACTTGATAAGAACTCTGATAGATCAGAGCCATGCCAATTGAATCACTGCATATGAACTCTGAGGATGACCAAAAAGGACAGTACATAATAATTAATAGTATATAGTGAACCATGTCTCATATTTCTACGGCAAATGGGCTTGATTAATAGGGGGAGGTTTCTGCCAAAGAAAACTTTTTTGAGGGTGATGGACATGTGGAATTCAGGTTTTAAATTAGTTTAGTCTTGGGGGCTCGAGCTGGGCTTGATTAATAGGGGGTGGTTACTTGATCCTGTGTGCGCATTATATAATCTAGTCCATTCAGAGCTTCCACCTGATTTGTCCACTTCCATAGTGGTCAGTCAGAGTGTAAATAGAGCCATTTGGGGAACCTTCTAAGGAAGAACATGATGAACCTTCATGCCCTCCAACCGTTCGCTGGAAACAGCGGAAACATAGGGCACGCATGCAGTGAAAAGCGGAGAACTAAGCCTCCAATGTTCGTTCAATGAAGGAGCTAGAACTCGCTGCGGTTGTTGTTTCATCTGTTGGAATCCATACCTGACTGCGCTGCAACAGTAGAGGGTAGTAGATTGTGAACCCACTGATCCACTGATTGCACCGAAACAGACTGGGGAAATAGACCCCGCGCAGCAGCTGTACATATATAATACTGTATATATACCTGGACCTTCCAAGCGTGCATTTTTGTTCAGCTGTTGGGCGAAACAACACAAATGTCCGTCGTTTGCCGTCAAAAACGCTGTGATCGTTCAAACGTGTCGTTTCACTATTTTGCAAAGGTTGCCAAATAAACGGTAACCAAAAGTCGCCATTTGTACCCGGACATGACCCTATAAAAGACAGTGTTTGTTCCCGTTTTCCGAGGTACGAACGGAGGGTCCAGGTAATAGAGAGATTATATAAGCCACGGAAGTCCAAGGAGCTCACAGAAGAGCCAAAAGCCAAGGCCAAAAGGGTCAGAACCAACAAGTGAGTGGGAATTTTCCATTCCCTCATTTTGAGATGTGACCACTGTGGTCCAGCATGGGTTTCCCTTGAGCGGATTCAGAGGAATCTGACCTCAGACTAACCAATGGTTCAGGAACGGAAAGAAACAGAGTGCAAAGCGGCAAGCGCTGTGTTTACACTTTTTTACGCAGTTGATTGAACACACTAAGTGGATTTTGGGTCTTTTTGGTGGATGGTGGGGTCTGTGTGGAGTCTTTTGCCTGTCCAAACTCCAAATATTTTATAAATAGTCTGGGGCTAGTTGTAAATAGTCTCAAGTGTATGTTTGAAGCTGACAGGCAAAGAGGCCCACACAAACCCTAATATACAAAAATCCTCTAAACTATATACAGTATATACCTGGACCCTCCAAGTACCTCGGAAAAAAAGAACTTATATCATGTTGCTCTTTCAAACGAATGCTGGATCAAAAGGACTCTGAAGGGTGGCACCAATTCCACGTCAATAGGGAGTTTGATAAGAAACAAATAAATCAGGGGGATGAATGTATAACTGTATTTATAAATTGTATAACTTATATAACCCTATATAACCCTTCAGGAGGGCTGGCAGCAGCGCAGGAATGTCTTTCTTCGCGAAGTTTCGGAATTTCGGGCGGGGCGGGCCGCTTGTCGCCCTTTGATCTCCAAGTTGAATTCTCCATGCAGGAAACCATATAGGAACTGGTCGAACTTGTGGGTGTGCCTTCAATAGTATTAGATCTTAAAACATTGAAACACATAGAACAAACAGCATATATTTGCCACTTTCGCCCCTTCAAAAGCAACATCCTCGAACATCCCAAGCAAGTTGGATTGGAATAGTCTCATCACGTTTTTCTCCATCCCTGCAGCACACCCACATGAGGTGTAAATGACCTGGGACTCCGGAAAGAATCGACACTGGCAAATCCTCACAAATCACCCAAAGCCCGCAAAAGCCTGTGGTGAGTTTTCTTTGGGGAAAGTCCGATTGGAATCTTCCGATTGCATCGTTTCTTGACTTCCACAAAGGGAACTTCCGAAAGCCCCGGTACCAACACATGGTGCGCACCAACCGGTTGAGAGAAAACCCAAGACAAAAATTGCTTTGTCATGCTTTGTCAGTGTGGGTAGTTGCAAGTTTGGCCAATCTATATGTTCGCGCAACTTTTACACAGCAACATGAACGTTATTAGTAGTTACAGCTCAGGTTTGCAAACTAACTTGGCAACATCAGTTCTGATTGGGGCAAATTCGAGTCTTCCTTTGTCCATTCAGAGGACTCCTGGAGGACTGAGTCAAATATCCCTGTGCTTGAGGCACAAACAGTGAAAGGAATAATCAGAAGAGTCTTCTATACAATCTATACACCAAATATTGAACACACCTCGAGGCTTCTTAACTGAAAGCAGGCTTAGCAGCCTTGATATCAAGCTCACACATGATGTGAGGACACTGTTGAAATGTCGCCCTTTTTCCGGATCTTTGCAGGTGCTGAGCCTTTTTCGGACCGAAATCTTCAGATTTGGGTCTTTCAAATGTCAGCCTTCCGTCAAGCGCATGAAGCGGTCTGTGTCGTGGCTCATTGAGATGAATTCCAATAAATGGAGATGTCGCTTGCGTCTCAGAAGAAATTGGGGTGAACGGAAAAGGAATTAAAAGCAGATCTTCCTTGTCAACGATTCCCATGGAAACTGTCGTCGATTTCCGTGGATTTGCCGATTGACTGGACCCGACGAGTTGATTGCGCAGATTCTCAACGACAAACGGACAACTGAGTGGTTCATTTACAAGCAACAAGAGGGTCAATAATTTATACTAGGGCAATTTCGTCAAACTGATTAGGAACGTCCGACATGTCACAAGAACTTTTTGTTGGATCTCTCGTCTGAGTCTAATGTCTTTTTTGTTCGGACAAACGGTCCCCAGAAGCCTCTGGAACGTCGGGGTGAAAAGAAGGTGCCAGTGCCAGGCCAGGAGGATAACAAAGGATGAACAAAACACAATCCGATTCCCAACCCATGCACAAACGTGCACTGGCACAGCCTATAGAAAAGGTTTGTGCACAACCGCTTGATTCCGTACAGTCGTTTGTTAGAAAGACAACCGTTCCGCTGTTGTGTTCGTGATCCACCCGGTGAGGCCATGCAAACTTGAGACGTCGGAACTGCCTTGACCGCGGAAGGCTGAAACCGTGGATGACTATACAGGATTGCTCTGCGCCAAGCCAAGCGGTTTCAATCGCACCGATCCTTCCCGATGGTTCGGGCGCCGATCAGACACGAGATGAGTGGCTACATCAGAGCGCTCGTTTCCAACTTGCTAATGTTTGTTGAACCTTCTATAGGGAACTGGTACAGTAGGAGCGTCCAGTACATAGATCGAGCTACTAATTCGCTGACCTCTCTCTCTAGCGTCTTTCTTCGAACAAGACCTGTGCCCTTTTAGCTTGGAACGGGGCTCTACAGGTCCAGGTCCTCTGGTCCTAGACTTGCTGTCTGGGTCCTGGGAGTTGGGTCCACACCGGTGGATCACACCGGGGAACCGTCCCACGACCCGTCTGTCCGGTCTGTGACGGGGGGGATCTTGGACACGTCAAAACGTCTGGAATCTATAGAAGGTGGAGGGAAAAACCACCTGATTGTAGAGGAACATGGTAACATATGGTAACATGGTCATCTGCCGTTTTCCACTTCCATGATGATTCTGGAAAGTGTAGTTGCATGTAGTTGCCAATCATTCTCAACACGAAGAACACGCTCCCGTGGCAGCTCTCAGTTCGTGATTGGTCTTTGGTGTCAAACGCACAAAAACATTGGCATCCCAGAACTCAGGGACTCCCACGAAGGAAAGGTCACCAGATTTGTCCAGGTTTGGCCGCCGATGAAGCAGGTCAATCAGGGCAGTCTAAAAAGATGGTTCTTTTTCAAGAAACGTGTGTAGCTGCAATCACAACCCGAGGCTAGTCGTGGCGTGCTTCCACACTAGAAACCAACATCATTTTGCAAATATCGCAACCTCTTGCTGACAAATCAGTTCGAGATGACGTGGCATGTCTTGCTTGCGTTACCCCTCCACTACTTTGTGAGTTATGAAATGTTCTCAGCAACATCTGATGGACAAACAACTCCACCAGCCGTCTGATGTAGCATGAAATGCTGATGCAATGCTCACCACACTTGAGGTGAACATGTTTGAGTCAAATCAAGCTAATCAATTAGCTCACATGACTCTTGAAACGCAACAAACACGAATTTAGATGACTGCAGGCTGCATTCTTACACCACAGCAAATGATCTCAGAACGTTGTCCAAACACCTACAGTATAGCAGAAATATGCCGCTGTTTATCGCTGTTTGAAAGGGTTGCTGTCCCCGGATTGCACTGAGCATCATTGCTATCAAGTGGGTTGCACCGGAACAGAGATTGCTGCAGCAACTTCATCAACTTCAAGTGAGTTAGAATAGTAATTAGCATCAATCGCAACAACTCCTCTGCAGGAGTAGCCCGAAACCTGTGCTCCCCAACTCAGCCGCATTTCTGTTCTGGCAGCCACCACAAGCAGATGCCTCAGCCTGCAAATGAAACTCAAAGCGGCCAAACGTCTCAGACGTTGACACATCAAATTGAAGACGAGCGTTAGTGCTTTGCATGTTGCACGCACACGTCTCCTTTGGGGCGCGCTCTGGACTGGGTCTTCCAAGATCGTCTTGCAAAACATAATCCAAGCATGGTTACTGCAATGGCTGCAATCGACCACCCAGTTCAAACATGTTCAAGCTTACTGGCAAAAGCTGCGAGGGGCCCCAAACAACCCTGGACAGGGGAGGTGACACTGATCCCATTTGCACCTACATGATCCTTTAAGGGATTTATAGATGTGTCTCAAAGAGCACGTGATCGAGCAAATCAAGCAAACATGGTCCATGGTTCTGTTCTATGTCAAGCCCCTTTGGTATTGAAGCGGTTCTTGCATATCTTTCATTCTTTCCAGGCTAAAACTCGACACAACTCCTTTCAGTTTCCTGACTTTCATGCAGGTGGTGGACCATGCGTGAAACATGGAGTCACAGCATGTGTCCGTACCGGCCAATCGCAGGCCAATCGCAAGGAGGGCCCTCCGAAGAACGCCTGCGCCACAAACGTCATCCCTTCAAATAGCAATGTCCAGCCATATGATCTCCAGGTGTCACGGGCAGGCAAACTCACTGGGATGGGCGTACATGAGAATCATCCAGGATCCACCTCATGATTCACAAATAAAAGCCTCCTCAAGAGACAAATGGTGTTCAAAAAGCACTGTGCAACAATGTGCAATGGTACAGTACTACCAGTACGAGTAAGAAGAACACATCGAATCAACAACCGACCCTTGATTTTCCGACTGATCCACAAAGACCATGTCATGTCATGGTTCCAGGTGAGGCATTAGAGTCATTAGAGGTGGTGGATGGGGCCAGGCTCCTTAAGCTTTTGGAGGAAGGGGGCAACGACGGTCAGCCTCTGGGAAGCGACCGGGTCGTCAGGGAGTCGAACCGAGTCTTTTGGAGCGAGTTCCAACTGTATTCTTTGTGTTTTAGCCCTATTAATTCAGTAGGTGCCTACTTAATTAAGTAAGGGCAACTAGTTAGCTTCTGCATAATTGGAGGCAGGATAGCTCACGCTTCTTCAAGGAAGATCCCCCCTGCTTGAGGGCGGGGGGAGCCTCCTTGAAGAAGCTCGCACTAATGATTTGGTTCCTGGATTTGGAGGAAACCAAAAGATGTGCTGCAACAGATTTGGTACCAATGAAGCAACAGTTACGTTGCAAAAGAATGGAAGAAGCAACAGAACATATCCTTCAATGAAATTCCAAACCTCTTTTCAGGCACGTTGGTCCTTTTGATACGACTAGCTGAGTCTTTGGTTGATGTTGACAGGTGACTTGAGTAGCGTTAAAATATGCTTTGCTGGATGGACTGACTGACAAGCTTATTCCTTCAGGATGCCGCACACAGTTCTGGCCTCATGTAAGAATCTTACACGCATTGTTGTTTGTGTCTTTTTGTGTTTAGTGACGGGGGGGGTGCTCAAGGACGCAGCTCCGAAGCATTCGATACGCCAATTCTTTTCTGAAACATGGACACATGCGGGTGTCAACGTGTGCAATTTGTTGAATCTACGTCATCATATGTCCATTTCTGTGCAGGTCTGTCAGCCCTCCATGGCCCCAATGAGACCCATCTAGGGCCTTCCCCGTGCCCGTGGCCCTGCTTGAAATGTGCGGCCGTCCAAGACGACTGACTGGTTGCTGGTCCACAAAGCTCTACATCATCCCCATCGCTTACTGAAAAGGGAACATCTCGTCAAGTTAGATGATCGCTGACAAGCGATGTCTGGGAGAGATCTCTGCGGGTGCGACAGAACATCGTCGGGAATACCAGGATGTTCTGCAAATAGCTCAAACAGGATCCAACTGCCTTTTCAAATGATTGACCTATGTAAAGTGCTCATCACCAAAGCTCACCAAGTGAGGAATGCCCAAAATTCCCAAGACCATCATGCAATCACCAATATCTTTTGCCATCTCTTGCACGTTTCCCTTCTCCCTTCGCTGGTGGGGATTCCACACTATTCCACACTCCTCGCGGGCGAAACTGGACAGAAGTGGTCACTGATCGAAATAATTTCCGGTGATGATCTATAAATGCTTCTGAGCAAGTCAACAATCTCGAGTGCAACCACTAGCCACATATACAAGCCATGATGGTAATTGCCTGTATCTTTTTTCCCGACTCTTGATTCAGAATAGACAAGTTGACGAAGCAGTTGCTTATGGATGCAGTAATTAAACTTCATTGACACCGCATGCGAAGAGGCACATATGTGTTCTTTTTGGGGGGTGGTGCAAACTGTTGTCTCTCCAAAACAGTCACATCAAAACTGAAATCCTCCGGGTGCATGGTTTTCCACTGTCGATTACATTGTGTTGATGGTATCCGTATCTGTCGACACAGTCACCAACAGGTGTCTGGTGTGTCTGGTAGGTGTCCTGCAGGCCGATGAAAAAGCCGTTTGAGGGTCTTGTTTGAGGGTCATTTGCGCAAGTGATTCTTGTGCTCGGTTGTTCTCTTTAGTCGCAAACACTAAGAACTTTAGGTGGCGATTCTATTCAAGTTGGTTTGGGAGTAGCCTGACAGGAATCACAACAATGTGACAATGTGCTACCCAAAATGTCTCACAACCTCCGGTAGTAAGGTGGATAATTTCCGAACATATTTGATACTAGATCAGGTAGTATTACATAGGGTTCCCAAACAATAGAATAATATTCCACAATATAAAGCATACATATCAGAGTCCCCCAAAAAAAAAGGAAACCGCTTGCAACGTTGCAAGATCTTACAAAATATACCTTTAACTAACACGGATGTCCCAATGACTTGACTTGGGCAATGACTTGGTCCCAGGTGATCGAAGCCGCCCGGCATATTCCGGCGTGTCGCAGTCTTTCAGTACTTGAAGAAACCCAATGAGTGATGAGTGTGCTTTGGATCAGGCCAATGGTTAAATGCTATTGAATGGTGACTTATGTGTGGTTCTTGGACTGTTTGTTTCACTTGAAACTTGCATCCAACCAACAATTAACCACCACCAGGCTTTGATCAAAAGCTTCTACTCCATGAAATCTGTCAAATCTCCGATCCAGTTCGCACGTGCTCTCCAAGACCCGGAAGAAACTGGTTTCATGAGCTGCTGCCATTCGTTGGCAATAGTTGGAAGAAGGGTGTTTTCAAGCAACAAGGGAGACCGGTGGCCACCGCGCTTCAGCGGGGTCTCTTCTTGTTGGCCACCGGGTTCTGATCCGAATCAACGGTTCTGGAACAGCTCTGCCGACGGCGAATGAACACGGGGGGCTTCAATGAATTTGAAGAACACGAATTCATTCGTTCAAAATAGAATGGAGGGATGATTAAATGGGTGTTTGATCCAAAAAACATGTGTTGTCGCAGAATGGCCGAACCGGGAAAAATGATTGGAATATACAGGACTAAACATGACATCGGTTGTAGTTCTGGGATCTCTTTAAGGCAAACCAATTCTTTGTTCTGAAAGCCAAACAGATGTGTTGCAAAGATCGCCATTCCTGCACCTTCAATTCCATGAAACACATACTGTAGTCAGTCTGGTCCAGGATGACAACTACAGGTTCTGGACATTGTGACATATTGTGACTATGACTAGGGCTGGCCCCAAGTGCATCGACAAAGGCTGGCCGATCCAAAAGTCAGATTTTGAATGCTGGTGAATTGTGACCAGCTACATGTTTTTGATGAATCAATTTTATCGGGGAGAGTGGTTCTTCTATTGCCCAAAAGTTTGCATTCTGCGCCTTCCAGGACTTGGGTCGCATCGGTCACAGACCGACCGTTTAAATCTCTTCTGCAGCTGCTGGTGGCTCATCCGCATGCTTCAACTCGTCCTTCTTGCCGACACTCTTGGTTCGAAGGCATGGCCAAAGTACAAAGGCACAGCAACAGCAAAGGATGCAGGTGCCGATGAGGCTGTAGATGCCTCACAGTGAAGAGCACATGAATCGGCCCTCCGAATTGCCGCATGAATGTAAGACATACTGTTTTTTGGGGGCCCTGTGCGCGAAGCATCTACCGCGGCATTCGAACATACTCCAAAAGGACTCGCCAATCTGGCAGGATACAAATCGCCCAAGGGAACTTCTCCGCTTCCTGAACATCTTCGATGCCGTAGAGAGGGATGGCATCACGCAATTGCACCTCGCTGGACGGCGTCCCAGCCGTGGTGGTTGGGGCGGAAAGAACAACTGCAGATAGTTGAGAATCTGAAGATCAGAGACCAGAACATCTCTTTACTTCTTTTCTATCCTACCCAGTGGATCCCAGGCAAATCCAGGCAACCAGTATATAAGTAACCACGGTTTCAAGGTTTACTCGTTTAATGTCACACACTTGCCAAATGGGTGCGGCCACACTTTTAAATCTCTACCTCAGCTTTTTCACGTGTGGTAGCTTTGCACCTACACGCAATAAACGATTGATTTGTTCATTTGCAAAGATTTCTCAAACAACAAACCTCTTCACATCCGGGCCATCCATCACAAGAGCACATTTCTTTTCAGCATGGTTACCGTTTAGTTATCGCTTGGATATTGTGCAAAGTCTTGATACATCTTGGGAAAATAATTTGGGAATTCACATGTTTGCAAGAAAGTCTGGACATTGCGAGAATATGTTCTATATATATATATAGCGCCGGACTGAAACTTAGAATGCCTCGAAAATCCTCACATCTTTCCCGAAAGGCTTGGAATGCCTACGCGAGAAAAAAACATGGGGTAGACTTATATAGAATGGGTTAAAGGTGTCACTGGCAAATTGTCAACATTCAGGCCTTTTTCTCTTCATTCCTTTTGGTTGGCAGGTTGGTTTTTTTTGGAAGGTTGTTTTTTACCATTGATTGGATGGAGGGGAACAATTTGGAATCTCAAGACTGTGCGCACTTTAGAATGCCCTGTGCCAGACAAAGAGATAATATATATATATATATAAACAATATGTAACGTATCCAGGAGACTCATGTCATGGCAAGAGAACATTCTAACCGTACCGTTTTCCTGGCCAGTTCCCCACATAGAGTGCACACGTTATTTATATATATATATTCCTTTTAGTCGCATTCAAATGGCCTCCTTTCCCTTCTATTCCGATCGTTTTGCGTTATTGTGTTCTCTTTTTCCTTCCATGATTTAATGTCTTTAGCGTTCTGTTTTCCCCTCCAGTCCCTTGCCACGTCTCTTTTGCTTCTCCTCCTGCCAAGCATAGTGTCAATGAGGTTTATGAACGGGAAGGGTAGCAGAAAAGGCATCGGATAGCAAGGCAATGGAGAAGAGGCAAGGACACTGGCACCTGGTGCGGAAATCGGCAAACATTCATCAGTTTAGTGCACGCCCAGGTGCAAGCATTCTAGCTGCCTACTGAAATTTGGACTGTTCAAACATGCGCCAGCCTCCTTTCCCTTTTAGTCCGGTCATTTTTTGCGTTGCTGTGTTTCTCCCTTTCCTTCCCATTTTGATGTCTTTAGCGTCTATCTTTTTCCCGCCAGTCCCTTGCTATGTTATTTTTCTTCTCTTGCCATGAGCCTCCTTGACATATATAGTTGTCTGGCACGGGGCATTCTCAGTGTGCACATTTCTACTTGTTTTTGCCCTGTCTCTCCGGAAAGCTCCCGGGCAAGGGCTCTGCTTGAGATTCCAAATTGTTCCCCTCCATCCCAGTGTGCGCGTGTTGCTTTCCAGTTCCCTTCCATTCTTTCCTTCCTTTGGCTTCTTTTCCTGCCCTGCCCTTTGCGACGTTCTTCTCTGTCTTTCCCTTTGCCTTTCCTCCATTGCCTGCCTATCCGATGCCTTTTCTTCTACCCGTCCCGTTCACAAACCTCATTGACACTGCGCTTGGCAGGAGGCATTCTAACTGTACCGTTTTCCTGGCCATTTCCCACGAGAAAACTCGTGGAGATAGCGTACACATGTTATTTACGTATATATGTTACATATATCAGTTCTCTCTAGTCGCATTCAAACGGCCTCCTCTCCCTTCTATTCCGGTCGTTGTGCGTTACTGTGTTTCTCTCTTCCCTTCCCATTTTGATGTCGTCAGCATTCTGTTTTTTCCCTCCAGTCCCTTGATATGTTGTTTGCTTTTCTTCTCTTGCCATGACTCTCCTTGGTACATATAATCGCCCCCCTCCACTCCAGTGTGTGCGTGATTGTGGATGTTGTTTTCCAGTTCCCTTCCCTTCTTTGCCTTTCCTTTGACTTCTTTTTCCTGCCCTGCCCTTTGCGATGTTCTTCCCTGTCTTTGCCTTTCCTCCATTGCCTGCCTATCCGATGCCTTTTCTGCTACCCTTCCCGTTCACAAACCTCATTGACACTACGCTTGGCAGGAGGCATTCTAACTGTACCGTTTTCCTGGTCATTTCCCACGAGAAAACTCGTGGACATAGTGTACGCATGTTATTTACATATATAATATAGTTGATTATTTCCCTTCTATTCCGGTCGTTTTGCGCTACTGTGTTTTTCTCTTTCCTTCTCTTTTTGATGTCTTTAGTGTTCTGTTTTTCCCCTCCAGGCCCTTGCTATGTCTTTTTTGCTTCTCTTCCCTTGCCATGAGTCTCCTTGATACATATTCACATATATATATATATATGTATTTCTGTGTGTGTTGTTTGTCCGGCACGGGGCATTCTAAGTGTGCACAGTTCCTTGCTATGTTCTTTGCCCTGTCTCTCCGGAAAGCTCCCGGGCAAGGGCTCTGCATGAGATTCCAAATTGAATTGTTCCCCTCCATCCCAGTGTGCGCGTATTGCTTTCCAGTTCCCTTCCGTCCTTTCTTTCCTTTGGCTGTTTTCTTGCCCTGCCCTTTGCGATGTTCTTCCCTGTCTTTGCCTTTCCTCCATTGCCTTGCTATCTGATGCCTTTTCTGCTACCCTTCCTGTTCATAAACCTCATTGACACTACGCTTGGCAGGAGGCATTCTAACTGTACCGTTTTCCTGGCCATTTCCCACGAGAAAACTCGTGGAGATAGTGTGCGCATGAAATTTACATATATGATCTAGTTTTCTCTCTAGTCGCATTCAAACGACCTCCTTTCCTTTCTATTCCGGTCGTTTTGCGTTACTGTGTTTTTCTCTTTCCTTCCCTTTCAGATGTTTGTTGCGCCCTGTTCTCTGGACATGATTGTGGCACCGTGACCACTTTCAATAGAGAATGCCGCGCAATTTCTATATGCAATTACATGGGGGTGTGTGGGTACAATGTTTTCATATATACAGCCAGCCTTTTGTTCAATCATTCTGGACAGACTGTAAGATAGAGTTGCATGGCCAAACATTTTCCCTGCAGTTGAGTGAGTGGCAATAGTGAGCAAGGGGGCCAAAATCAAATCCATATTGCGTACCCCAAAGCCGCATACTACTTGCAGTGTTGGAATGCTATGTTCGTTAAAGATTGCCAAAAATTTTAGTGCGGCATTCTAAATGTGCGACTGATTGCGCGTTGGAAAGTGAACGTTTGGGAAAAATATTGGACTAAAAGAAAGAATGTGGCGTGGTTCGAACTCGTTTGACCTAGACGTGCTTCTAAGTGTACATCTTCTAGGCGTTTTGCCTCACCTTTGGAAGCATGCCTTCGCATCCGCCTTCACAAGCTTTCGCGAAACATGTTTTTGTGCAAAGGGTGTCATTCTAAGCCTCATCACCTGGGCACATATATACACATATGCTATCCGGACTGGAACTTTGGAAAATGGCATTCTAAGCCTAGGGGCCTTTCTCACGTAACATTCTAACAATGGAAAATAGGAAAAACATCCTCACGATAGCATTCAAAGTTCGAGTCCGGCGCTATATATATATATATGCTGCTACAAACAAAAAATATATAAGAATGGTCGGTGCGCAGTGTTCGCATGGGAAACGTGTCACATGTGATTCCAAGATCATCGTTTCTTTGAGTTCATACATACTGTATACTACTTTTACAGGTCGAAGTGCATGTTTTCAGTCAATCTGTGCTCCAACACTACTCTGTTTGACGGAGAGTTAAGCCTGTTGCTAGAATGGTTATCGGGTCTGCATGGTCTCTGCAAACAACCCTGTGTATCTACATCCGCCCAGCTCATCGGACAGGTTTCTGCCTACTAACGTTGGATCGGTGTGTTCTCTCAACATCTACATCAACATAATGTTGTTGTTGTTGCTGTTGTTGTTGGTGGTTGTGGTGGTTGTGGTGGTGGTGGTGGTTGCTGTTGTTGTTGGTGGTGTTGGTAGAAGCAAAAACAGCCGCCCAACATAATTGTCACATGTTGTAACTTTGGAACTTCAAGGGGACAAGGTTAGGGATACGGTTGAAGGTTTGAGCGGGTTTCACTGAAGTCTGGGCTGGTCCATCTTTAGTGTTTTTGAGGTGTTGTTCTGGAGGGGGGG